TCTGGGAGAGAACATACAGATGCACATATGGACATATACCTGATTACATAGCCTTGCTTCTGCTTTTTACACAGTAGTAAGATGAACAGAGCTCCTTTGTTAGGCTCTCTCTCTCTCTCCCATTCTCAGAGGAAAAAGCAGGCATTCCACATTGAGACTTGTGCTGCTGGGACCTTGGAGTCCAATGACTGATTGGAAAATTGAAAGGTATAACTCCAGATGTCTGTCTTTGTCCCCGAACCATGAGGATCACCCCAGGAAATTCATTGCTGATACATGGATTACTAATGAAGTTATTCAGGTCACAATTGTTTCCAGCTCATGACTCTACCGCTAATTTTTGCAGTGCTTTGAACAGAGAGGTCACAAATGCACCATTATTACAGACACAACCTGCAATTAGAAAGCATTTAATAGCTGAAGGTATTTGCTTGGACAATTCAGATTTAATTCCCTGCTCATTGCTTTATTGGATCAGGGTTATCAGTTAAAGTTTTGAACAAACCCCTGAGCCACTTTGCTTTTCTTTACTCATGAACTGTTTATCTCTCTCCCTAATTGCCTCACGTCCTGTGAAATTGTTCTCCATGTTTCCATTTCAAAGACCTGTGTTGAGAATCTATAATTTTTCTTTGTCAAGTGAAAACATTTGAAATAGTTTAGAAATAAGATGTTTTAAATCATATTGATTTGTATATTAATATCAACATAGTGTGGCATATGTACTTAGGAAATTATGTGAGTGCAGAGCAGGGGATCTCTATGCCACGTTCCTAATCTACGTGTCTGTCATAGTGGCCAGCAGTGGTTAAACACGGTTTATTTTCAGAGGAAGCTGAAAGGAATGTCTGACATTTCCATTTATTGGCTAGGCCACTACAGAGGGTTACACAGGCTCATGACATTACGAAGGTGAATTTAGCAGATCTGAGAGATTCAGCCTTTTTCTGTTACAGCCACATGTGGCGCGTCTGCTCAGAGATCGTAGCCACCTCCTCACTGACAGTGTTTTGCTTTAGTGATACAGTGGAGCATGAAATCTTACAGCTTAGCATTAATGAAATACAGAAGATACAGATTATTCTGTAATTTAAACACTGGATTGATAGATTGATATGAAGTTATTGTAGAGTCTCAATTGAATCATGACTTAGTTTTTTTCTTGCTTTCACTTAGGTTCTGCTGCTGTTCACAGTATCTGTAGTTATTCCACTCAGTTTTACAGGACTGACTTGTACAGTGGCAGCAGCATTAACCTAGCTAACCAGTATGTGTAGTCAAGGTCATCTCTGCTAACATGCTTCAGAAAAAATCGATTTGCTAACAGTCTGGCAGAAGTAGAATAGATATTTGAGCAAGTTAAAGCAGTAAGTTTCTCTTTCAGCAGACCATGATGGCAGGGCATGTTTAATGGCACAGGGTTGATGAGGAGTTGGGTAAAAGGAATTAAGTAGAGAAGTATAGACCAAATGAACAGGGCTGGTCACTGTTCTGAACTTTTTAGCTATAAAACATCTCTAAATGGAAAGGAGTAATTTCTAGGTGGCAGACTGGACTTCAGGATTGTTAAAAGTTTGCAGAGCCCTTTACATAATAATTTGTTTGGTTGTCCTTCTATGTATGTCAAGATTTTACCCTACTGACAGAGGCATTTGATATTTGAGTCTTTTGCAATAACCAACATAAGTGGACAAAGAATTATCGCTTACTAGCTTCCTCAGGCCTAAACAAAAGACAATTCTGCTACACGCTGTGACTTTGATCAAACTATGACCAAAAGCTCAGGAAGGAACCAGGCCTTGCAGTACAGCAAGGTGGTTTAACTGGTGTTGGGGAGCTGGAATGCTTAGCTGACTAAACAAGACAACTGGTTCCGGGGTAGCTGTTCCTGAACTCTGCTGCTCTGCTAGAATTCAACAGGGAATGAGTTTCTGAGTTATGGGCCTGAGTGTCTAGTCAGTAGCAAGAGCAGAAGCACCTCTGCTATTCCTTGCTCTGCAGAATGTCATGGTCTGATTGTTCTGCAGCAGCAGTGTGTGTATATATATATATATATATATATACACACATACATATACACATGCACATATATATGTTGCATTTTTAAACTTGTAAATGTTGATATGCAAGAGAACAGTCCTGAATCAAACGGGTGTTCAATGATCTTTTCTCATTTAATGCAGAAGAACGTTCCCTGTCTAAGGAATGCCACCAACAGAGTGTCCTTTCCCCTTCAAGGACCACATCAGCAAAGGATGGCGTTATTTGGGAGAGATCCAGAGAGGCTGAGGAAGGTTCTTCTGTGGCCATTGCTGAACCTCCTTCCCACATACAGTTAAGAGATCCAAAACTGGACAGTGCAGCAAAAGAAGAAAATGAACAGGAGAGCACAACTTTTCAGACACTAGAAGGATTCACACCAGCATACACCCAATTTGTAATGAAGAAACCCATTTCAGAACTGGCCCACCAGCAAGCTGCTGACACTGAGAGTCATGTGGAGTTCCACAAACAGGCTGAAGTGGTTACGCATGAGTTAGCAAATAATGAATTTGCCCATGGTACTGCAAAGTTACTCTTTGGCCAAAGTTCTTCTCTACTTACTGCCTTGGACTCCAAGGGAGATGTAAGAGAACAAGATGCTGAAGAAATAAGCTCAAGTTCAAGTTCTGAAAGTGGTGGGGCAGACAGCAGGGCTGCCTGGTGTGTTAGTCACAGGACTTATGACACTGGCAACAGACATGGGTTTGAAAGATTCATGAAGTTCATTAAAGGAACACTTGGGGAGAGATATTGGTCGCTCTGGATGGATATTGAAAGACTAAAGGTTCTTAAGAACACTACAAGGCAGCAAAGGTACTTCCCATTATTTAACAGTTATTCCCATGGCATTAATACTTGTTACCCAGCTACGTCAATGCAGGTTTTGATATTTCAGAGTAAATTGTAATGTTTAAATAGAACAGACACAATTAAAGTAGTCATGAGTGTCCTGACAAGGTATGTCTGAAATGACTCTGCTGAAGCTGATAAAACTCTTTTCGCAGAGTGATGTTTGAAAGCTTACAGGAAGTCAGAATCGCCATATTATTAAGGCTGTGTTAGAAAGAGATTTGGGAAACAGATGGCAACAGAAAGAGAAAAAAGAATAAAAGGAATTTTCACACGTAGGGCATTCAGTGTGACAAACTGCTTTAATGAAAGGCTCTGCTGGATTCAGATTGTCTATTCTAAGGCTCTGTACATTTTATCTTATTCACAACATGTCTCTAATTTGCAGAAAAATTGTTTTGGCTTCTGCCACTTGCAATTAAAAACATGTTGCATGACAGCAGTTTAACCAGTAGGATGAACCGTACTTGGTTCTGTACAGCATCTGATGCATGCTTATGTGACTCTTTTTGTTGACTGCAGGCAACTCAATAAGATGAAAAAACTGTACCTGCTGAGCAGTGGAAACTATTTCCTCGGTTTGGAAGTGTTACTCAGACTTGATCTACTGCATGGAGATCAGTGGAACATAAGGCATTTAAGACAGATTCAGCCTGAAGTAGTGAAACCTCTACTTCTCTACTGGTATAAAGAAATGGGCATGAACTAAAATTCTATTATTTAACATATTTCCCTTTTGTTTGATTTGCCTATTAGATTTATTTCATGTCACTTGTCCCATTACAATTATTGGAAGCAATGTCATCGTAAGTACTAGAACACAAATTTTTAGTTGAGCCTAAACCACACTGCAGTCTGCTGAGAAGCCAAGTATATCTGCATTACTGAGCCCTTGTTATTTTTCTGCCAGAGCATCTGAACTACTTTGTGTATTGCTGCCTTGGATATTGTTCAACTAAACTTTAGTCTGCGGGGTAGGGAACCACCTCCAGGCACAGGAGGTTAATTTTGTCCTAACCTGTTCCACATGGTGCCTTTCCTTCTCAAGCTTCTGAGGATGCTCTGTGTATACATCTATGTGGAATTTGACCCTGAGACCACTGTTCAATGTCTGTCATACAAAATGCCTTTTACATATTGACAGATTAAGTGAAAATAAAAATTCTAACCTATTTCCAAAACATAGTCCAAATTTTTGAACATGGTCTTTCCTCCCCAAGGGGGATCTAGAAATTGAAGGCATAAACAAATACCTGCAATTGCGAACTTTGCTGTGGAGCCTCATGAAAGTTGTAGTCTTGATACTGTGGCCTACAATTCTTTTCTACTCCTTGCTGTAGAATGAATGGGGCATATCCTACTGCAGACTCATAGAAAGGCAACTTTGTAATGGTGCAGAATTTGCAACCTAGGTTTATTTATGTGTAGTTTGGTTTTAGATTTGGAAACATGCAATGTCTACACATAGCTTTAACACTAACTGATTTTTAATTCTAGGTGCATATAGCACTGTATCTTGATACAGTAAATGTCATCATGGCAAAAAAAAAAAACCCAAAGAAGCCAAATAGCCCAATGTTTTTGGTTTTGGAAAGTTCTGCTTATGAGGGTTTTTTTTTCCCCCTAGGGGTCCCAGATTTTGTGCTACTCATTCCACAGCAATAGAAACTGCCAGTGCAAGACTGAAGCTCTGGCACACATGTCAAGAGAGACCAAGGATGGACACTGATCCTTTTCCACAAATAGTATCATTGTTACCACTGACACAAAAGTCTTGCATACCCAGGCTATCACCTTCCCTTCCTCAGGTGAGTAGGATTGCAACATTGATAAACAAACAAAGCTTTGTCTTTGGACTTTTGAATCTTCCAGCTACACGGTGCTTGCCAGAGCTTAGAAAGAGCAGCAAGTCTGGGTAAATTTATGAGGGCACTCTGCATGCAACTGGCATCTCCAAAAAAGTCATAGCGTGGTTTTGTTCAAAATAATCAGTGATGGTGTGGCAGAATGTCCCCTTTCTCTCCCAGTCTGAGTGATTTTATCTATCTTATAGTGAGCTAACTTAAGATAATCTTCATAAAGTTTCAGAAAACATGTTCACATGCTCTTCACCCGACAGCCTCTGTAATTCTCTACGAAGTGCATGTAACATATTTCTACCTGTTAAAAATGTAGTTTTAAAGCTCTAATTGTTATTAAAGTATGCTGAAAATTCTTGAAAGATATTCAGAGAGTTTTGCAATTTGCAGTTTTACATATTGTGATTGACAATGGCAAATAGTCCTGAAAACCCCTGAATGCTTTTGAGCAGTTAATTAAAACACTTTAAGAAAACACAAAGGTGGAATAATAATCAAATTGCCTTATTTTTCTGCAATGTCTTTTAGAAAAGTAGAACAAGGTCTGCAGCAACTTTATTAAAACCACCTACATCAAGTTCCTCTTTGAAGAGATCATCAAGATTACAACCTACCCCACCATCGAGTCCCCAAAGGGATGAAGTTTCTAGCAGTAGAAAGCGGTAAGTTCAAAAGTCCCTTGTACATCTTTCTGCACACCAATATGCCTCAAATATTTATGAAAGGCTTTTAGATCCTATTGTTTTCATGAATACTTTTCTTGAATACAATAATATGCTTAGTGAAGCACAGTTATACTACAGACTGCGTGCATGGAGAATTCCTCCCTGCCTGATTAGTTTCTCATTTGTTTCTGCCACCACACAAAAGCATTTATTTCCCCAAATACAAGTGTTTCCTCTTATGTAATAGTTGATACTCTCTATGTACATTCATGTTCTTTTAACATGTCTCCAACACTAGTCCTCAAAGTCATGCTGTGCCAGTGATTTCCACAGAGCCACATCAAAAAGTATTCCTCTACATTTTTTTCATTTATTATAAATTTGAACTCCCTGTACTTTTTCCTCTACTATGCACTGTCACTCTACCTCTTTTGTGCCATTTATTATTTGTGTGTTTTATAAGAAGTCTGAGTTTTTTCTTAAATATGTATTGAAAAATTTTTGTTTGTGATCCAGGTCAGAGACAGAGAGCAGAGACATGACTCATTGCTTGGCTTTGAATGACACCAAGGACTCAAAATACCAGGGTCATAGAAAGTACACCTATGCTGAGGTGCTCCCAGTAAGTACTGCTTGAAAATATTAGTTGTCTTAAATCATAGATTAAGCAACTTTATTCTACCGTATTGAACGTGAAGTAGTCAAAAATGGGAAGAAATTGGTTTGATTATATCAATATTAATGCTTTATGCAGAGGTATAATTAGAAGGTCAGCATTTTCTCTGTGATATCTGTCACCTATTTGATAGGAAATCATGGCACATACAGATGTTTATTTCCACTAGAAAGTGTTGATCTTCTCCATGGTGACCATGTGTTCAGTAGGCTATTATGGAAAACTCTCTGGATAAATGCTTCAGTGGAATCGTTGCCTGGGAAAGTATACCAAACTTATAGTGAAAACTGAATCTGCCTTAGAAAGTCATTAAAATAATAAAATTCATAAGAGGAAAATGTTTCACTTGTACAATTCCTCTTTATTGCTTGTGTACTTCATTCTTTGTTGAATTATTTCCTGCTAAGCTGGTCCTCGGTTGAGCAAACCTCAGGAAAGACAGGCTGCACACAAGAGCCTTTTCTCCATAACTACAAAAATGCTGACAAACTGAACATGTGAGATGTCAACATCTGGTAATCTAAAATATATCCAAACGTTTCTCATTTGTGGAATGGTCTCAAAACAGCCTGCTGTTTCATGGAGGTATTGATACCCACGGCCTCACAATGGAAAGGAAAAACATACTATGAGCCTATTGACATATGCATGGAGTTTGCTGAGCACTTGAGCATGATTGTTTGTTTTGCACATCAAAATCATACTTTGTTTATGACTTCACTGCAATCATTTTACTTATTTGTTAATTTTTACAGGAAAAAAAGGGTAGTCTTTGCAATTAGGGGTATTTGCAGTTAGAAATGTATATTCAGGAAGCATTCACACCATGAACTATTAGTTTTTACACCTTGTCCTACGGAGTTTCCCTCTGACTGAGGAAGGAAAATACCACCCATTTGCACTTACAGGGCTAGACTGGAACCTACAGTCAGTACCCCACAATTTGCCCTCACAAATATAATACAAAGGGGAATGCAGGGATTCATAGTTTTAACTTCATACTGGGGAGGGAGATCTTCCTACTCTGCTTCAAAAGTCTGGTTTCATCCTGCCCTTCTCCATCCCTGTTAATGTTTGGGAAAGAAGCTGGTTGCCAGCCACCACACTCATCTGCTTCCACTTCTGCTATCAGAGACAGCAAGTCAGCCAAAGTTTCTCTCTTGTGATCATCAGAAGCTAATTTACTACTTACAGAAGCCTCTTCTGGCTTCCCTGTGAGCATTGACAAAATGGATGTATTCTTCCTCAAATGCTTTAGGAGCCAGCCACAGTAAAGAGCATGGATTTCTTTCTCCCTAAATTGCTCATGATTTTGTTGCTAATGTCAGTGGTGTACCCCGGGAGACATGTATTTTGTTCCATGGTAGTTAAATGTTTTGAATCTTGACCAACTAACCACCTGTTAACTCCTCTGAATTCAAAACACAGTAGCCTGAGCTGAGACAACAGCTAAGTGGTATTGTTTAGTGTCATTGGAATTTCCTAGATTCAGAGCTAAAGGATTAATGACATTGTCATAATGACAGGTTTGGTTTTCTGTTTCAAGTATTGAGGAACCACCTAAGGGATGCTATGGTCACTTTGCTACTCTGCATGCCTTCAGTCATCAGATTTATTCCATCGGATGTGAATATTTAGTGGGAAAGTGGTATGGAGAGCTATGATCAATTGCATGTGTAGTAGAAAATGGAGTCTAGTTTCTTGTGTTGAAGATACTAATTGAACACATTGCATGGCTCTCCATTGCAATGTACTGACATTTGAAAATAATGAAAGCCTGTTATTCCTTGCTCTATAGCTATGTTTTATTTGTCCAGGGGAAGACCACTGCTGACAGTGTTGTCTTAGGGGGACCTGGAATGGAAAGCATGCTGCAGTCTCTTTATTTGGAGAACAGAGCAGGCCACTACTTCACACAATTCTGTGAGAAGTCAGGGAATAAGGTATGAACATTTTCCTACTCTGCGATAATTTAGTCCACAATTGACTGAATGCCAAGTTATAGAGGGTAGCCAGACTGGAAAAAAGATGGAGAAAGAAAGATTGATGACGGGATGAATTATTACTTGTGAGACTTCAATCCCTCAACAACAATAAACTGTTCATGTGTATATGCAAACTAATGACAAGTCTTAACCAAGCTGTCAGATTCTAACTGTCTCAAACCTATTGGAATTCTGATTGTACCATCAGGGATAAAAAAAAAGGACTAAGCATTTTTAAAAACTAACCTTTAACTTGGCAGAAAAAATGAGGTCTTAACCCACAAAAACATTTTAAAAAAGATGGAAAATCTGCTACGCAATTACTCACTATAATCTGCTTCCTTCTTACTTGTTGCATTAGTGATGTCTAATATCTCCAATGTTTTAAAAACTGCTTCCATGAAGCTCCTTCGATTTCTGAGAAACATAACCCTATTTCTTCTCTGCAGTCAGCGGATCCATCATTCATTGCTGGGTGTAAATTGAGAATTGGTTGGAACAAGTTATGGGTCTGAGTCAGTGTTTAGTGGCTTTGCAGAAAAATTGAGTCTTTAGGGGAGATTTGAATGCAATCAAGATGGACATCTGTTTCACCGCTGGCACAACCCAGAATCCAGCAGCAGTAGCTAGAAATGCCTTTGGCTACTAGAAGGCAAGAGCCAGTGTTTCCAAAGCTAAATACCTTCAGCTAAAAATGTGAATAGATAGAAAAAGGAACTTATTTTTTTCATTGGAGATAGGCATCCATCTACGTGTCCTCTAGCCTTTGCAGGTGCCAGACTCCTTTGAAAATCACTTGCTTAAAGTTTTCTCTACAACTGTGGAGCCTATTTCACTCATATGTCATGTCTGGAAGGCTACAGTTTGTGGAGCAAAGTTGCCTGCCCCCATCTTTTTGGAACACATTCTTTATTGCCTAGTGATGGGAGTTTTGGGGCATTTTTAAGATGTGAACTCCATAAGTACATGATTAAAACAGAGGGCTTGGGTAAAGCTATAGACTTCTTCTGAAGGATCTTTTGCTGTTTGAATTTATGAAATGAGGCCAAGACTCTGTGTCTCAGAAATGCATGTAATAAAAATGTAATGATAGTCTCAGTAACATCTGTCAAGTACACAGAATTTAATTGTTTTGGTTATTGCTGCAAAATGCTATTCTACCATGGCACAAACTCTGCACGTCCATTATCAGCATTTCTTCTTAGGACTGGCTTTATGCCACTGAAATGTGGTTACTCTTCAAATGTTAACTACAATGTTAATGATTTCAATGGCCAATTATGCATAGAGGATACAATAAAAGATAGAGTATCACAGTGACGATGCCATTAAATATGTTGTCCTTCTGCCAGTATGCAACAGAAGATTAAATCCATCTTAAATTGAACTTGATTTATGATGACCCCAAGGAGCTAAATAATTACTTGCATTGGAAAATCAACCTTTTATAAAGCTGTGATATTTGGGTAGCAATAACTTACAATATTTTTCATCTCTAGTTGTGGGAGAACAGTGTGTACTTTTGGTTCGACCTGCAGTCTTATCATCAGCTTTTTTACCGAGAAACTCTTCATCCTTTTCAAATACGCAAGCAAGCTCAAGTAAGTTGTAAATAATGTGTTTTCCCTTCACAAATACATTTATTAATTCCCTTCACAAATGCATTTGTTTAGTGTAAAGACCAAAAAGAAGATAGAAAGTAGAAAAGTTTCCAAATCTTGACAACCCACACCAAAGTAAATCTGGGATGTAGACAATAAAGGAAGCTCTTTGGATTGTTTCCATGGAATTTCTTGATTCAAATGTTAAACATGCATAATTTGATTTCTAGGCTCTGTTGCCTGTTCCCAGTTTTATCTGTTATACTCAGTTTACCTAAACTCCCCTTTGCTACTCTGCGTCATATTTGGAAACTGTCTGCTTAGTCTTAACATCAGCAATAGTATTTTTTCTGAACCATCTAATTGTGCTGTACCTTTCCTTCCATCTCCTGTGTGGGTTAGGATTGCAGATCTCACAGTCCAGACCTCAGATAATGGATCGTTGTCAGTCCTGTTTTAATTTTTTTGACTGTCATGGAATCATGGTTATCTTTTCACATTTGTCAGCCCGCAAAGAGATCTTTAGACCCTCATTTACTGTCAAATGGAATTGATATTTCCTATAAATGAGTATTCTTAATTGACCATGCATTTTAAATCAGGGAATAAAACAAAACTAAGCTGCTTCACCAAAATGGTGCTGACGGCTGTCACTGATGGCAGAGTAGACCAGTTCTGTCGGGGAAGGAAGCTGCAGCACTGTGACATCATTAGAAGAACTCGAAGGAACTTTGAAAATCACTTTGTGAAACTTTGGCCTGTTTTTCCTCTCTAAACCTTGTGTAGGAATATATACTATCTGCATGTTTCAATATACGTTGTTATACATCAAAGCTGCTTCACATATCATTGGAACAAATACCTGGAGAGAGCAGGTGACAATAATCTCTTTGTACTGCTAATGGTACTGAGCATCTGGAGGTTTTACTGGGGCAAATGATGGAATTTTGCATATTTGTCCATAATATTCACCTGAATCAGTGTTATTTGTACAGAAACTCCAAGCAGAGGCTGAGGCATGGATTCCTCTCTTTCTCCTGTCTCACCACACTGGGTAAACAGAACTATTCAGTTTTTTCCCCTCCAGCTCTATTTATGGCCTGATGCTGTGGGAACTGAACGTACCCCTAAGTCTGACTGTCTCCTGTATCTGTCCAGGCCTGTGTGTGGCTCCCAGCCAACATGCAAGTTAACCGTATCTAGACTGTATCACCATTTTCATATGTGTTCTGTTGCAGGACAAATCTTAGGTTTTGGTCCCTGATGGTTTTCAATTTGGTTTCATTTCACACCATCTTACACTTTTTCTGCAGTGGTTGCATGGCTGAAAATTAAGGCCTGGGTCTTTTTTACTTATTTCCAGTGCTGGCCTGGTGGTGACAGCAGAACATCACACAATCAGTGTTACCAGGCAGTTGCAGAGAGCTACATACACACACAGCCATTAAAGTAAATACATCAAAACGAAACATGTGAAACTGTTCCATTAGCATAACTAACAGCTGAAATATAACATAACAAATCAACACATGTGCTGCAACATTTGGTATCATTCTCAAGCTTGCCTTTTAAGGCTGCGGAAAAATTATGCTTGTTTTCATTGGAGCACGGCAAAGAGTCAAGCTGCAACCAATCTACACAATCTGCTTACGGAAGAGATGCCTTCCCAAATTCTGCGCTCACCTTTGGCACAACAAGACAGTCATTCCAAATACTCCTAAGAGAACGTGGATAAGATTCGCACGGCACATTGCCATATATATTTTACTATTTATTACAGAAAGACATACAGAGTATTCCCTATGTGTTCTGCCTGCTTCCTGTGAGAAACAAGAACAAACCTGGATTGCTGTGTATCTGCTACTCACTCTTTCATTTGTTATATCAGCTCTATAACAGAGTAAGAAAATGCATTCCAAGGTGTATATGCATTCATATGGGGAAAAAACTACAGTGAGAATGAAATCTGATGGATAAGCATAATGATGAAGACTGGTAATCATTCAGGAACATAAATGGTTATTCACTATAAACACATTCGCAGAAGTGTAAAAAAACCTGAAAAGCAACAAATAACTGCATAATGTAGGTTTCGATTTTTTTAAAAAAAAGATTAGAAAATTTAATACAGTTATGGAAAGTACAACATTTTAACACTAGAATAAATTTAGATAAAGGGAGTTATCATTACTGTGAACTTGTAGGGTCCGACACAAGATTTATGTTAGTGGAAAGTGATGACGGAGGTTAAGGCAGTTTAGCCTCTCTGTTTAAGACCAGTCAGTGCATTGCATTCTTCCATCATATGATTCTGTCAAGTAGCTGCACAAGCCCCTCATTTAGATTGGAGCAACATCCATGCCTTTTGGCAGCAGTACAAAGCACTTGGACTTAAATCTTTGTCGCATTTCTTGATTCACCCTAGTCATTCCGAAATTGCTTATCAAAGTCTTCTCATTTGAGGATGAATTCACACCAAAACTGAAGCCCTGTACAATCCCTGATTTGGAAAGCCATAAATGAGGCCAAAGCCTTAATCTGTATTTTCTAAGCATTTCGTATCTTCAGATTTGTGTCATTGTAAGTAATTTAAATATGCAAACTGACCAAATTTCCAGATAAGGTTTTGGGTTCAATTCATCATTTATTCTAATACATTTATAGGAAAATTTATAGCTGGCAGGTAGGAAAATTCTTTGTGGTTTTCAATAGAAACAAAACAATGAATCAATGAAGTATGAGGTGCACTTGATGTCACATGCTTAACATTTTTGTATGAATTTGTTAACCTTTAAGTTCATTCAATGTAATTTTTCCTGTTGCTCATTTAGGAGATTGGCCAATATAACAGTTCCAATATGAGATTCAGCAAACCACAAAAATTCCTATAAATATTACTTTTTGAAGGACAAAATGTATCTTGCAAACTTCATTGCCCAGTGTTGAAGGCTGTGAACACAGACACTTTCCTCTTTTTTGACATGCCTAGAATTCTTCTCAGTTGGTTTTCCTGCAGTTCTTGCAATCAAGTCCATGCAGACCTACAGAAGCACCTGAACCCTCAGCAAGGGACACAGGGGTGAAAGCTTCTTCTTATTTCTCCCATATGCAAGTGCATTCATTCACTGTGCCACTTTGTGATGCTATCTTTTTGCCTACTCAAATCCCATAGCAATGGAGTCTTACAAAATTGAAGTCAAAAGATGGCATCATGCCAAACCCTCAGACACTGTAAATCCGCATCTTTCAAAAGAGAAGAAGCCATCCTGATTACAGCACTGAGGGGCTGGTTCTTTGAGTTTGGAAAGGTGCACTGCTAGACCTAACCTAACCACCTCTTAATTTCTGCTTCATGTGTATTGCCAGCTATAACTCTAGAAAAAAATATCTCTCTCTGTTATGCTCTGGTTTGGCATGTGAAATTACACAGGACTGAGGGCAGTTCTGCAGGTAGAGCAGCCTGCAAAGGCAGTCCCTAATATGGCAGTATATAACAACAGTGTTTATGTGAGCAGATTGTCAACAATTTTTGGGAAAAGCTTCCTTAGTCTGGGCAATATCTAACTCTGTAGACTGATTTTTTTTGTCAGCTCTAAGGAAGAGTAGCTAAGAAGTTAACCAATTTCATACAAAATCATAAGGGAAAGGAATTCTGCCCAAGAAACTTCTGGTGGTTTTGTTTTAATTTTTTCCTTAAAACTATGCCAAAATGATCACCTATTTAAGGAACCAGGTTAAACGTGTGTTAAAATATTGAGGACCTATTTTTGACCCTTTTTATCAATTTGCAGATCCCTTGTGTGATTTTATGAGTCATAATGGGTGGAGCAATGTAGCCCGAGCAACGAATGAAATAATTAACCCCTCTTTAAAAAGCCTGTTTATAAAGACACCACATTTTTAGATCATTGGATTTGTCCCTTCTAATTTTGAAACAGACTAGAACATGATGTAACAGAAACTTTACTACTGCTAGGGCTCTTCAAAATAACTTTCAACTTTTGAAATTGCTGCGAACGTAATTAATGTTGTCTCTGTTAAATTTATTTGGAAATTTTCTGAGAAGGACATAGTTTAGGATAAATATGGTCTTGTTCTTCAGCTAGGACTCTTCCTGTGGATGCCCTCTTTCTGTGACCTTACCCTTACAACTGTGTGTCTTTATTGCACTGTTACTGTGGGCCACAATAGGCACGAACCATCTTCGTTTTCAGTGATCAGATCTATGCAGAAAGGGTGTGGAATCCTGCCTAGACAATAAATACAGTAATCATAACAAGTGCTAACTGAGGGATGGATGTCAGCCATCATAGCCCTGCATTTCTCAGTGACCTAATACCAGGAGAGTCTAAAGGGTCTGTTTCAAATTGTAAAGGTCCGAAGTAATGGGGATGTACTCTAGTACCATCGATGTTTGAAAGAAAGAATCTAATAAATCAGACTTTAATTTAAAACAAACAGAAATATAGTTATTTAATGTGCTCAAACATCTCCCCCTGTGCTTGAAATCTAAGCACACCAGTGGTTTATTACTGCTTGAACACAGAGTACATGTATTATTTTCTTCTTTTCTATTGCTTTGCACACCTGCTAGTTACATCTGGAATTTAGCAACATAAGGAAAATGGGAATTATCAGAATACTGCATTCTTCATTGCTAATTGTTTGGTAATAAATAGTGAAGATGGACTCACTGGTGCCAGCCAAAGAGAAATTCTGATTTATGCTACTAATCGGATCCCTGACTGTATGTCTGAAAATTAGTTAGACTCTGATAATATGAAGAATAGAAATTTTTTTTAAGTATATGAAATATACTAAGGCAGAATCTTTTTTCACTTGAGTCCCTCTTTGCAGTCAGAATCATGATGTTTTAGAAAGATATTCTGAAAGATCCTCTTCCAAGATATTCCCGGAAGAAAGCATTTTTCTCTGAGTTTTCAATGTTCATTTTCATAGCAATTTCTGAAACATTTAGAAAACTAGAATTTTACTTAGAGGACTATTTGGAAAAAATACTGAAATACATAATATCCTTCAAGAATGAGCTGCTAGGGAGAAGTAAACATTCTCCAGGTTCAGTTTTCTTCTCTTTGTACATGTTGAATTGCAAACTCTGTATGTTTCAGATATAAAAGCATGTTATAATCCTCTCTTTGGTAAGGATTTACACCTGTGTTGTGTAGTGGCATCTCCTGCATGAATCTTGTACTGTGATGGAGTCTCATTAAAAAACTCTTTAAGAGAATCTCCACACAGAATGAAATTGTATACTTCTTCATTAATTTTAACCTTAAATTTACAAATTCCCATCTATTCATAAGTAAGAGGTCTTCGCTAGTTGGCCCAGCACATATTGTGCAAAACAACAATGTGACTTCATGAAGAGTGCTATTGCTGTAATAATTGCAGTTAATTGAATTTAAGAATCAGCTAAATATTTCCAAGAATTGCATTAAGGATTATTTTGTCATCTAACCATTTTAACAAGCAGGAGTAAAAATTTCAGGGAGGTTGGTCATGGCAATAACTGAATTTTGGACAAAGTAGTTGTAATTAGATATATGTTCAGAATATACAGCAGGGCAGTGAGGGACAAATGTGCACTAATTCTCTCCTTCAGCAGTTGTGACCATTGGAATGGATGATGGCTAAGAAACAGCTTTCTTCTGTTTTATTGTAGTTCCTTTATGCAATTTACATTGCCCCATCTGCCAGTATGGACATTGGACTTCATCAGACCAAGAAAAACATGATTTATGGGAAAATTGACCCAGCTTTTGAGGACCTTTTTGACCCAGCAGAAGAACACATCCTCTCTATTCTGCTAGAATCATGGATGAAGATGGTGGAAGCAGACAAAGATGCATATGGAAAGGTAGCAAATCTGGATGACTCTTATGTTAGGGAAGAAAATCACAAGAGCCTCCATATGCAACCCTGTTATATTTATAGTCAGGAAGGGAGAAGTATTACAAGATGTTTTGCTTACCCACTCCTTCCTATGCTGATATGTGGAGTAGGCTGAGCTTCTTGTGCAGAGCAGACTTCTCATCTGAAAGGAAGGTGTGGGCTTTATAGACTCCTTGGCCTGTGAATTAGGGAGGAATGCATCTTGCTATGGTAAAATTTCTCTTTGCACTCAGGAGGTGTCATGTTTCTGCAATCTTATGATTGATCAGAAACAATTTTCTTATGATGGATTGCCCACAAGCACTCTATATTTTTAACGATAAGCACAAAGTAAGCTGTGTTTCTAGAGTGTGAGTGCAATGGTAGTAAGTCTCTATTAACTGTATCAAAAATCACAGAATTGAAGTCCTGCTACTGCTTAGCATAAGAAGAAATGTGATATGGTAATCCAGCTCTATTTGCCCCAAACACTTTTCAGATCACTGCTCTGATGTGTAAGGGCCAACTGTGCTTTGCAGGCCTCCTGAAGTAGGTAGCTTAGAAGTGTACTCAGTTCTGATCTCAGAAAGCTCTTAAGGCTTGAATTGAGCATGTTCATGCAGAGGAGATAGCTGCAGTCCTGACTGTGCCTTTGACAAATAAGAACAAGAAATGGTGGTGACAGTGGTGGATGCTGTGGCTCTCTGTTTGTACACTTATCTACAAGTTAGCAGCTGTAGCTCAAACTCCTTTTGGGAGCCACAATATAAGAAAGATATAAAGCTATTATAAAACATCCAAAGGAGAGCTATAAAGATACGAAGGGACTAGAGGGGAAGCCATATGAGGAGTGACTGAGGACTGCTCAGCCTGGAGAAGACTGAGGGGAGACCTCATCATGATCTACAGCTTCCCCATGAGGGGAAGCAGAGGAACAGGCACTGATCTCCTCTCTGGTGACTAGTGACAGGACCCAAGGGAATGGCATGAAGCTGTGTTGGGGGAGATTTAGTTGGATATTAGGAAAGGATTCTCCAGCCAGTGGGTGGTCAGTCACTGGAACAGGCTCCTTAGGGAAGTGGTCACAGCACCAAGCCTGACAAAGCTCAATAAATGTTTGGATGACGCTCTCAGGCACATGGTGTCATTCTTGGGGTGGTCCTGTGTAGGGCCAGGAGTTGAGCTTTGATGTTCCTTGTGGGTCCCTTCCAACCAGGACATTCTATGATTCTAATTCAAGTCTTGAACATCTCTCTCTTGGACATGAAAGGAGAAACTTACAATGGGGAATCAAGAGTTGGAGGGGAGGAAGTTAGTTCTTGTTCCTGTTTTTCTCCAACTTACAGGAAGTATCATCACTTACTACTGATACTTCTGTCAGTTTGTATTGAGAACATGCCCTCATTGCCCCCTGCCAAACATTTTGAAATCTGTCCGCAGAAGTTTTATGTACATCGTATTTTTGGTACTGTATCATGCATTCTTTTGTCCCTCCTGGGTTTATGTAAATGTGTCTTGAGTGATTTTATATCTTTGGCCCCACTGTAGAAGTGGGTTCCATGGTTTAGTCATGCAATAGGAGAAAAAAGTGCTTATCTTGGTTTGTTTGCAAACCCCTCCCTGATAATTTCACCTGGTGCCCTAGTTTTGTATGTCATAAGAAACAAGTGAACAATTGTTACCTTGTCATATTCTCAATGTTGTTATGATTTTACAAGTTTCTGTTGTATCCCACTTCGGTTACATCTCCTTGAAACTCAAGAATCCTAGACTGATCTCACCTCTTACAGAGGGAATTCCATACCTTTGTTACATTTATCACCCCACCTGTATGTGTTACTTTATATTCTTTTGATAAGATGCAAGCAGTACTCAAGGTCTGGATGCACTAAGGATTATCCAGTGGCAGAATCATGTTTTCTGTTTTGCTCTTTGTTCCTTTCCTAATTGTTCCTATGATTCTAATTGTCTTTTGACTCCTGGTGAACTTTGAGTGGATGTGCAAAATGTAAGCTAATATCCATCTGCAGTGATTCCAAGATCTCCTTCCCAAGTAATAACAACTAATGGAAAGCCATAATTTGGAGCTCAGTGGAATGACTTAATGTTTATTATCATTGAATTCAGCTGCCCTTTTATCACGCAGATGCTGAAGTGTCCTGAAATCCTGCAGCTTTTCACAGTCAATTTAATTTTTTTTGCTCTGTGGAATCATTTTGCAAACTTTGTTGTCTCATCACTCACCTCCTTTTCCAGATAGTTCCTGAATATTAAAAAAACAACCTCAGTGCAGATCCCTGTGAGACTCCAGTAAGAACCCCACCCCGTAATGAAAGTTATTTATTTCTTAGGTTTTGATTTTCTACCTTCTAATTAATTCACAAGGGGGCTTTCCCTCTCATCTGTGATAAGATAATTTCTTTTAGAAACTTTGGAAGTTTAAACACTGAAAAAAACTAACTAAAATGAAATACACTATTCCAAACACGTCTGCAAAATATTTTCTTCACTTTTCAGCATCTTTTCTAATCTTTCAGATACATATTTTTTTCTAAGCTATTTTGGCTATAATTCTTTATGATCTGCAGAGCAGTGTGTAATTGATCGATACTTTCATGAATCTGGAATTTTACTTATTTTCTATCAGACTAATTGTAGTCTTTTGTAAATGCATATTTGCCATGTGTATTATCAATATGAGTTGTCCAGTGTCTGTTGCTGATCCTCATAGTCAAGTCATTGGCTCAGCCGAGTACTGTTATACATAATTTTGTATAAAAAGGACTCTGCTTTTGAGCTCTCTCTGAATGCAGTGTTTTCACTGCTTCTAGCAATGGATGGATTCCACCAAAGTAAGAGCTGAAAAGATGTATTTTTCCTTTAAGCTAATAAGTGTGGCAGTTTACACTTCATTGAGTTAACAGAGGGATAATCTATTGCCCTTTAAGTTTAGACGATGTGTTGCTTTGCAAGTGCAGTTACACGCAGACTCCTCAGTGCTCTAATAATACAAACATCTTAATCAGCGCACAAAAATCAGAACAAAATCTTTTCAACTGCACAATACATGTGTTTGTGAAGAGTTATAAGACACAGACATAAAACGACCTGTTCTAGGAGGCACTAGATCTCTTTGTAGTAGGCGCAGGCTGATACTCAGGCACACTCCTTCCCAGCAGAAAGACAAGGTCTGCTTTGTATTTTGTTCGGTTCCTGGCTCTACTCTTCCCCTTTGTTCTACCATATAGCAGGATATATTTGGCCCATAATGAAACAAGATATTTTATCAAGAATTAGGTGAGTCCAAAATTGTTTATTTGGGACATGGTTAGTACATGTATCTACATTTTTTCTTAAAACAAAACCTGAAGACAGGAGCATTCCTTTTTATTGTTGACTCTCATCCTGCCTCTATCTGCTTTCTGTTTGAACTTCATGAAAAATGTTCTGAATTATTTTACTATTTACTTTTAAACTGTTTTCTTTTAAGGGAAAGACTACCCCAAAGCACTTTTCAACACTGTAAGAGTTAGATAACACAGTGATTAATGTGGGATTCACATTTAGATGAGAGTGTAATGAATATTAATCTAAACACTCTATTCTCTCTCTTGCACATAAACTCTTGTGTAATAAGACCACAGCTTTCTAACCTTTGTCATGGGCATGCTAATCGGTATAAGGCATTGGCTCAATTTTGTTAAACATCCTAAATTCTGCATTTGAATGATTTAGTCAGCCAAGAAAGTCGCCAAACTATCCCTTGTGCAGTTACTGATTGTTTGCACATAACATGAAGAGCTGTGCTAGTTATATACATAAGGTTTCTAATTAAGTTTAAAAATGCCAATACTTCATGAGTCCCAGTCATGTACAATTTATTATCTTAAGGCATTTCCTGGTATAAAACTAAGGAAAGGGATGATACTAAAGTCTGAAAGCCTTCACCTTCACTGTTTAGATAATATAACATCTTTCTCATCTTAAATTTCCATTTCTGGAAATCTGTGACACTATCTTTTTGACATTTCCCATCGAGAGTCAAAGTTTTAAGAACTTTTGCTCCTTCTCAGTGGCACTTTGACATGCAATTTGCTGGTATAGGCAGTCAGGTAAGTCTGACACAACGCACACAACATAATACATACACAATCTACACAATATATGACACAGACAGTATAATTGAGTAATTTTTTTAATACAAATTTCTTTTCTTAGAAATATAGTTAGGTTATTTAGTGTTCTGTAGAAATCTACATCTGATCCTAGACAGACAGGAAAATTTTGTTCTACCAGAGCTTTTAATGGAATTGTTTGTCACAAGAATGTGACTTCTACTGTCTTCTAAACATAAGTCTCATTACTAGCAAATGTATTATTTTCAATCTACTGTCACTGGCAAAGTGCCCATCCAGCTCTCCAACTTCCTATAATGTGTACTGTAGGGATGATATAAGATATTATTTTTATTAGGTGGAGTTGGTGGAAGAAACTCAACAGCTGGACTCCGTGTACTTTAGAAAGCTCCAGGCTTTGCATCAAGAGAGTAGTTCCAAGAAGGATGAGGTAAGACAAGTACCTACTAGCAAAAACAAACCCTTTTTCTTTCAGAGAGGGTTAACACTTTGAGTATCAGCAGTGAAAGACTCACCACATGCCAGTTTGGAGAAGCAAATAGTCTGATTCCTACCATTCATTTTGGGGACTGATTGACAGCCATTGTGTGAATTAGATAAACTGGTCTTCTGTCAGTTACATCAACATCAAATCATTGTATGATTGGAGTCAATGAGACAGTTTCCACTAAAGTCTGTGGAATGTATTTTGGGCCCTTGAGTAAATACCTCAATTTCAAGTAAATTATAGGTATGAATATTGGTTTATTTGATTATGGAACCTGCACACACTGGTATGTTTAAAGCAAACATAAAAGAAAAGCTGCCTAAGAGCCGGAGCCTTAACTCAATTTATTTTCTCAGCAACTGAAAAGCTGTTTTACAGAGACAGATTATCTAATTCAAGGATTATTAGACTGAGCAAAAATATAGAGATAAAAAAAGCAGTTATGCAAGTGAAATAATTTCTTCCCTCAGAGTACTGTTGCTGACACTGGTCTGCTATCCCGGCCTGATGCTCTCAAAGAAGTTCCCAAAGAACCGTCGGGTCCTAATCTATCTAACCTGATCCATGACAAAGAGAAGTTAGAACTGTTCTGGGCTTTTCTTACTGAGCACTCTGCTGGGTATGTCTCTTTGTGATTTTTATTTTACCCATTTCTAAGTTCAGAAGAAATCTTTGCTGGGGACCTTGGCTATCTAAATGTTCACAGATTCTAGTATTTTTTTAAAATGCACTTGCATATTTATGAAGTACACATGCACATTGTTCAGACAACTGAATTGTCTTAACATTTTGGGGGTAAAAATTCTCCTGTCATAACATGTTTATATTGCAGTTCTGCTTTCAGTTTCTACTTTGATTAGTGGCAATCCCCTGAGCAGAGCAATTAGCCTATAATGAGTAAAAAATTCCCTTTTTTTAGTATAGATTCAATTTAGTACGTTTTTAAAATTAAAGCTGAATATTGTAAAAGTGTACAAATAGAAGACAGACACATTATTCTCACAGTCTGAGAGCAACAACACTTCTGTAGCAGATACAGTTTAGGTAGAGTTTTTAAAAAAGTGAGCCCGTTTGTTTAAAAATTAAGATCTAATCAGAACTTCTAGCAGAAGTAAATGAGAGTCATTTTGGGGTTTTTTTTTGCCTGTAAATTGTCACTTCCTGTGAGCTTTGCATATTGCCTATTGCTTCTAGTCAAGCACTGCTATAATTTTAGATTGGATATTGATCAGCTTTTTCAAAAGTGTCCAGAGATGGGCATCTGGCACAGAACTCCTCTGGACAAGACTCAATGTCATCACTTCTGCTTATCATCATAGGTTCCCTTTGTAGTCAGAGAGAGAAATACACACTTCTGGGTGCAATTCTTTTAATTCTGAAGGTAGCATCTAAAATCAGTTTGGAGGGATCATTCCTAAGATGGCTATTTCTTCTCACTGACTACAAAGAGGCTGCAGGTAATGAGTTCAGGTGGATATTGTTATGCTGTGGGTGCCTATAGTCAAGTGTCTTTTGAGTTAGTTGTCTAGACCAGTTGTCTCCAAACTTTTTTGGTCACACACATCATCAGTGAAAAACATTTGAGCATGCACCCTCAATACACGTGTGTTTAATTTTTGTGCTGCTGAAGTGATAATATTTTCTTACTGCCCCTCAACAAGTGGTCTTGCACACCTCCTGGGGTGCACACACCCCACTTTGAATACCACTGGTCCTGAGTTCCTCTCTAACTGGGGAAATGGTAGGAATCACCAGATAACAGTTCACTGGCTAAGATGGAGTCCTGGACAGGTAGACTAAATTGCTTCTTCCTGCCTCTCTGTTAATCACAGACAAGTCCCATCTTAAGTGGTGGAGCTAGGCAGAGAAATATTTAATTTCTTGGGAAATTTTCTTTTGTAAAAATTCATAATGAACACAAACATTTAAAGAAGTCCTACAACAGTGTTTTAGAGCTGGCAGGATATAGTGAAGATGCTTAGTGGTACTAAAAGCTGAAGGGGTCCTAGAACTAATGCAGTCTAGAAAATTTCAGAAAAAAACAACAAACATTCAAGAGGAGCTGGGGTATTATCACCCTCTCCAACTCCCTGAAAGGAGGTTGTAGTCAGGTGGGGGTTGGTCTCTTCTCACGGGCAACCAGCACTATGACAAGAAGGCACAGACTCAAGCTCTGCCAGGGGAGGTTTAGGTTTTTTTATGGAGAGAGTGATCAGGCATTGGAATGGGCTGCCCAGGGAGGTGGTGGATTCACCATCCGTGGAGGTTTTCAAGATGAGACTGGATGTGGCACTTAGTGTCATGGTCTAGTAACCACAGTAGGGTTCGACTTGATGATCTTTGAGGTCTTTTCCAACCTGATTCATTCTATGATTCTATGATTTGCCTCTTCATCAACATTTATGGTTCTGATACTGTCCAATTGTAAGTGATCCAAGTTTCAGGAAGGAAAGGCTGCTGAGTACTTGGGCACAAATTCTGATAAGAAACTAAACAAAGTTCCATTAACTAATACTTCATTAAATATATAGGATACATTCACACAACTGCAGGACAATTTGTGTTACTTTGGTTTAGTGAGTTACCACTTGTTAGTCTCTCCAGGCTAATTGACTATGCATGTGCTCCTGATCTGCTGAAAGGGAAAACTGCACCATGTCAGGATAAGGCACCATGGTAAACAGTTCAACTGACACACTCTCAGATTTTACATTTTGCTTTTTAAATAAGATGCACATATTTGATTGGTTGTCATAGGTAGATGCCAAGGAGTTACTTCATAAATCACAGCATTTGGGTGAACTTATTCATGTTGTGATGAAGTAGCAAACGGAAGAGTTTCGGTCTCAATAGAACTTAGATCTGTAAGGGTCTCAAAATACTTTTGAAAGGGAAACATCTGTTCTTAAATCATTCAGATGCTTTTGAAAGTTTTACTCACAGATTAATGCTTTGAAGAAAAGCATTGAAAAAGGAAAAGTGAAATGGATTTGTCTGAATTTAATGTTTCATATTTCCTACTGCAAATAGAGTGAATGTCCTCATTAAAATGCTCACAAAACTTCAGTTTATAAGATACTGTCAGAAAACAGTCATATAAATTAAACCATAATTGTAGGTATATCAGTTATTCTGTCCTCAGATTTAAAGAGCAAAACCATGGTATGTTTCTATGAAAACAAACTTAGATTTATAGTATGCATGCAAACATTATGAACAATATATAGATTGAGAATTGCTTATGGAGATTATTTGTCACTGACTATGAATAATGATTTGGTAATTTATGAAAAAGCAGCCCACAAAAATCCCTAGAAACAAATTTTACCATAAATTGTTTTTGTCTGCTTGGCTGCAGACTGACTTAAACTCTAGCAGTTCACACGGGGTAGGAAGAAAGTGATTTCTGGAGCTGATGTTCCCAGTTGTCATCCCTGGTCCTTTCTCAGGCAATATGACAAGGAGGCAGAACAGGAGGCATCAACTCATCTCTCAGTGGCTCTCAGCCTCAGTACTGATTCAAATTCTCATCTCTTTCATTTTGCATTCTCTCTGCACTATGGCTCTGGTACACAGTTCCTGCTCAATTTAGCAGTGGCATATTGAGGAGGTTGCTCCTCCCAGGGTAGACCAGAAGGGACCCTAATGAGGTCCCTAAGATGTGTGTTTGATCTGTCTGTTCAGCAAGTGCCATGATCTCACCAGATGGTATGAGCAAAGAATCAATGACATAAAATTTCAGCCCAATTTGACCTGGTATTTAGGTCTTGAATATTTTGGTGGCTTGTGGTTAAACTAATAAATCCCTAGAATGTTGATGAAATTAACTCAATATTGAAATAACATTCTGTTTAAATTTGTTTGTAGCATGGATCTCATGTGCTGGTTAGATATTGAACAGTTCAGAAAGACGCTCCACAAGGATAAAGAAAAAAGGAAGGAAAAATCTAAGGACATTAAAAACAAGTACTTAAACAAAAAGTACTTCTTTGGACCAAACAGCCCAGCCACCAGAGAACAACAAGAAAAGGTACCAGTTACATAACCATTCATAAAGAACCCATAAGAGGGTTTGGTCCATCTTTTCCCCAAGCTATCTCCTCAATTCGTACCTATATGTTTGGCCAGAAATCTGTTTCTGTTCTGGTTGTGAGGGTCCCTTCCTTCCTGTTCAGGCTCTTCCTCCCTGCCTCTTACAGAACATCTCTCTTAAACCCTGATCTGAGGCCATGGCCAGAGCATGCACAACACAGCGCAGAAAAAGTGTAAAAAATGGCTTTCAGGCACAGTGACTTGTTCCAGCTTTCTATTTTAGTATGTCAGTAAAGCCACAGACAGCAAGTCTGAGCTGTCGTACTCTGATATATCTTGATACTTAGGCAATTTACTTGGTCAAGCTGGGGTATTATTTGCCAGAGTCTGTATCCTATTATAGGTAGGGACAAATGTAATCCGTTCCCTTTTATGAAAAGTACATGTGAGCCTTGGGTAAGCATGCATTAAATGCTTTGCTTACAGTTAAGCTCATGCTTTGCTAAATCAAGGACGTAGAGAGATAAAGGACTTTTGGTATACACAAAAGTTTATGTCATGTGTTATTGTATTTGGATTGCTTAGATAATTCATTCAGGTGGAGGATGGAGACAAATCCTTCGTGATCAACTTTCGGCAGCAGCTCTGCTAGAAGTTCAGCAATGTGTCCAGAAGAGATTAGAAAAACAATGGCTGCCATTGTTCCTGGCAGATGAACAGCATGGGGCAGAGGGACAAGCAAAGGTAATTTTTTAACAACGGCAACACATCCAGGCATTGTTTTTTGTTTGGCTCATAATTTATCATTGGGATAAAAAGGTTCCGAGGAAAAGCAGCCCACAACTGATTTTCAGTTTACATTGAAAGAGATGGTGTAGCATGTACAGGTTGAAGCATTTAGCTTGATAATTGGGAAGGCAGTTCCTCGGAAGGCTTAGTTTAGCTGACAGTATTATTCTTAGGTCCTAAATCTGAAGGAGCTGGTGTTAGCTCTGCTGCCAGCCAAGCTGCCAGGAGAGTAAGCTAATCTTTGCTGTAGCACTGCACTCTCCATATGCCATTTTACTCTAGCCATATAGTTGCACACTGAAGAAATGATGCTTTGTGTAAAGGATTTGCCCAAGGGGACCAGAACACAAGCAAATGAGTGGGCTTCCCATGCTGTATTCTTTCTCATATGCTGTCTGCATTCTCCATCTGGAGCTGCAGTGCCTGCAGAAATGACTTCAGGATTTGTGAAATTCTGCTGAGTGGGGAGGTTAACTGCTACAAGCCTTGTTCCAATCGGATACTTCAGAAAGTTGCCAGACAACTGGGAGTGAGGAGCCTTTCACTCCTGCTGGCTCATAAGAAAGATTGGGGAATGGGCAGAGCTCATATCTGCCTTTTATGAGTGCCTCTGTGGCTAGGACCCATGTAAGGAGATCACCCTGCCAGTGACAGAGGGAAAGAAACTTGTGTTTTGCACTTCCACAACACCTCTGACATGCAAATGTTGTAGCAGGAAGAAACTTCACAATTCCATCAAACAGACACATATGCAACTGCATTAATCCATAAAAATTGTTTTTGTCATCTTTTTAACATCAAGAAAGCTGTCAGAAGTGTTGTCAGTAGTGCATATGAGCTGGATCCTTTCCTTAGAGCACTAAGCAATGTGAAAAGTATAGGTTCTGATAAGAAAAACTGTAATTTTAATAATGATTATGTTAACTAAATCAAAATTTCCTAACCCTCTGCCCTTTTTAGCTGACCTCTGCCTCCTTGACAAGGCCTGGCACAAGAACCATGCAATAAGACTAAGCTGCTTCCAGGACTGGAAGCTAATTCCTGTCTCTTTTTGCACCTGCTGCTCTGTGGTGGCAGGAAGAGTAGCCTAAGTTGTTTGGAAAATACTGTATTCAACAGTTTACAGGAAATACATATTTCTAATGAGTTTTTAGTCTTTTCCTACCTCCATTTATGTCTGACAGCTCCTTTCTCTTTCTTATTGCAAATTCAGAGGATGAAAAGGTCCTTTGAAGAAAGTATTTTAGAAGAAATGAAACCAGATGACATTCTCCACATGGCTTCATATTTCACAGTGACCAAACACTGTGGGCATGCTATGTAGTCCTTATTCAGAAAACTTGCCCTTGATTTGAGGTGTATTTTTGCTACAAAGAAACTGCAGGATGAATGATCTGTATCATTTCTGATACAGATGTCTAAAGGAAATAAAAACTTTTCATATTTGAAAAAAGCAAGCTCAAAATGTGTTCCTAATATAAGTGGTCCCTCAGAACATTATGAGTAAAGCAAATCAGTGCAAGTGCACAGTTTGCCTGCTATCACCTCTTTTCTTCTTGAACTCCCCAGTCTTAATGAGGAGGTGCTCATTTATAGCTGAAGAAGGGATGGCATTCAGTGTGGGTCCACAACAAGTTTCAGGCATAAAATCTATACAAAGACATAAACTGTTCTACCACTGTGGTCTCAATCACTAGAGGATTGAACAAGAAACAAGAAGAGTTAAAAAATACAATGACAATATTTTCTTCAACCGTAGATAAGCGGCATAACTGAAGATCTTTCATACAAAAAGCATCAGAAGACAACCAGGATGTGGAAGGCAAGTGAAATTTACTGTCTCTTGTGTCTACAATTTCACTATCTTTTTCATTTGGACCTTGCACATCCTTCACCATTTCCCTGCTGCCAGTGTAAGGCCCAAATGTAATGCTGTGAAAAGCAGGCATGATTGGATTGGCTACATTGGACTGATTACTCAGACTGCTCCTGAATTTAGCTCCCTGCTGGATGTTCATGGTAAATTTCTCTTCCTTCCTGGCCGGAGAGGCCATATTGAAAAAACATGTCTCTTGTCCAAGACTTTGGAGCACTCTTAACCCTCCTCAAACTGATATTGTACCTTAAATTCACATTTATCTGTATTTTGTATGCAGTGGACTTATTGGGACAAGCTGTTCATTCCAGCATCTGGTAGTTTATTTATTATTGCAAGTGGATTACATGCAGACACAAAAGGGAATGTGAAGTATGCAGTAGAGTGGGCAGGTTTAATCATATCTCACAGTATCTGTTTCATTTAGAATTGCATTTTAATCTCACAGCACTGAGATAATATCAAATTTAAACTTCTTAAACCTTTGTAATAATACATTTCATCAGATGTTTGCCAGTTTTTTCCTCTTGAAGAGCAGTGAACTTTTTGTGATTGCCAACATACAAGTTGTGTACATTTGTTCAGCTGAACTTTTATTGTCTGTTGAAATCAAACTGGAGACCCGGTCAGCAATTATCCATGCAAACCGTCAGTACAAAAGGGATCCAAAGTGCATGTGGGTTCTGTTAATTGAGTTTTCCCTTTGTCTGTTTGTCAGGAAGATGGTTATTTTCCATGTTCTCCTCTGAGGCTGATGACCTGTAAAATAAGCAGTGTTTGTATATTGGTATAGGGATGGGAGCAACATTTTGTTCTTCCCTTCATGAATATGCCCCAGAAATAATTTTTCCCCAAAGTTGCCTAAATCCTGGTTGCAGGGGATAGAATGTGCTTGGAGAACTGGAGAAGGGCTGAGAAGAATCCACCCTACTGTCTAAGTTGAGCTGACTTTATTTTAACCAAACTCTCTGGACAGTCACCACCCTCTCTCTCACATGGAGGGTAGTGTCCTGCAGCAGGACACTAAGTGTAACCCCTGTTTTTAAGAGAAGATGAAGAAACCCTTTCATCTCAGGACGAGGTTAGGTTTCCACGATGGTCAGCAACAATTAAAAATGTTTCTGTCCCATGCTGACCATTGAACAGTACTCCAGCCCTCCAGGACTTCAAGAGTTTTAGACCACTGTTAGAAGACGGTTTTCATTCATCCATCTCATAACAAGGGGGGGTGTCTGGCTTGCTCCTCAGCAACAGCACAAGAACTGTTTGTTCAGGAAGGCAGGCCAGCATGAACTTCATTTCAAACAAACTGTCCCTGCATAAGCCATCTTTCTTTCTCCACCCTTTCCTGGCTGCCTACTGTTTTGTGCTTGGCAGCATGAGGATTTCTAAAATGTCTTGATTGTCTAAAATGACTTTAGATTCTATTTTACTATTGGTAGCTTTATTCCACTGAGAGAAAACTCTCCGGCTTCTGTTGGTGATCATGGCAACACATTTCAAAGCTCATTTTGTTGGTGAGATCCCTGTCAGAAGCATTTTACAACTTTAAGCTATGTGGTTTGTCTGTTCCTTTTTCTTTGTTGTTTGTTTGCACAAAACTAAAACTGTTCTCTAGAAAAGTAGCCTGTTGCCATAATCAATAACAATAGCTGTTTCCATACTTTATAGTATAGAGTCATATGGTCTAAATCATTGTCAGTCATTTCCTCTCCCATCATGTCTTCCAAAAAATGTTCCCCAAACGAAACTGGAAAAAAAAAAGAAAAAAGTAAGGAAAGAAAGAAAGAAATGAAACCTTGCTACATTTTATTGTACCCATGTCAGAAACTCATAAACTACTGAAAGTTAGGGTCAGCACAAAGATAAAAATCAGACAGTTTATGCTAACTAATGCCTCTGTTATTGCTTTTTGAACCAACATTTATTTGGTGCATTTATTTCTTCTTTGACAGCATGTGGACAATAAGTGCGTTTCTTCATCTAGTGAAATAATTGCTTTCCGCAAAGCGCTGATGGATCCAGTGACAGCAAATCAGTTTCAACTCTTCGTGTCACTGAAAGGAGACCTGCTGGGGAACGGAGTGCTCTTTTGGCAAGAGGTGCAAAAGTATAAGGTATGGTGGTAAAACAGAGCAAGGGGAATAGCACTTGATTCGTAAGCAAGTGCATCCATTCCTGCATATTAGGAAAATTTTAACAAGAATATCTATAGATTTGTTGTTCATAGTAAAACCTCTTTCACTGTTTGAACTGGGTTTTTTGCTTTGATGCAAATCCTCACTTCTTAAGGGTAGCTATTTCTGACTCAAATTTATTATCCCTACATTTCTTTAAGCTTCTTAAAACTGTAACATGCTTTGGAGTCTCTAAGGGGACACTACTTACCAGCTAATGCCCAGAGTTTGGTATACATCTGTTGAGCAATAGAAAATATGCAAGCATTAAAATGTTCATTCTGTCTTTATAGCTGTGTATGGTTAAATGGGATTATGCAGGCCCCATCTCCTTTGCACTTTGTAGAGTCACATTTGACTTCATTTGAGGATGGGACCAAAGCAAAACATGATGGAGAAGGTCAGCTGGTAGCAGCTCTCTCCCAAGTACATGCACTTTTGTGAAAGTGCTGCTGTGTAGGTTGAAACACAATGGGAAACCTTTGGACTGAGCCTTTAAATCACACTGCAGCCTCCTGATAGCACCCTGAATTGAATATGGGGACACCACAGATCTTTTACTTGTTCCTAATTCTATTTGCCTCTGGAATATTCCTGATACAAAAGTGCTACCAGAGTGCAGAACCTCTCCTGGGCTCCTGAACATAGCCTGTGTCCACATGGCAGGCAGGGAGCATGAGGTTAGCTAACATGCTCAGAAATTAGGTAGTAAACACAAGTGATGCTGCAGTAGCACTTGGAGATCCTCTGCAGACATATGGGTGTGTTTTCACTGTTAATTTTATGAATTTGAATTTGGAGTCTGCTTTAGAAGCTGAAGCATCTCTGTTTCCAGAGGACAATCTCTCTTCCTCACAGAGGCTCTGATCCTCAAGCAAGGAGTCACCAGCTGAAATGCTCTCTGAGGGTGCTGCTGTCTCTAGGTTACAGAGTGACTAGCTTAGACTAGAAACCTGATATGAAGGCACCTGGTGTTCCATGACATAAATCCTGTTCAAAATACTTGAAGTTTTTTCAACTTTGTGACTCTTCATTACTACATTATGGAGGACATGGAAACTTTCTGCAAATTAATGTGGAGTGTAGATTAGACTGTTTTCTCTGTGGATTTGGTCTCTGAAGAAAGCCTTCGTTATTTTTTTGTCCCACCCCCTCCCCTGCATTTATGTTAATTTTATTTGTCTTCTTATCAAGAAAAAGTACAATCTGACCATATTTCTCCATGCATGCGATTTGTCATGGTTGGCAGTTGATGCTCTTTATAGAAGCAAAGGGCTGGAGTAGTAGGAGTGTTGTGGGTCAGGCTGAACTGGAGGAATATTGCCAAAGGCGTGGGCAGCACTTTGCACAGTGCATACTTCTATTGTCTGAGCCCTATCATGCCATCAGTTTAGACTTTAGGCAGAACTCCCTTTAGGAGTCAATGACTGCATTGCTCCCCATAACCCATCAGGCTGGCGGCACATCTTGGGACAATCCAAAACCAAAATCTTTTTAAAAACAAGAATGAAGAAATATAATTCTGCGGATCATTTCCATCTGTTCCTCTATGCTCATGTCTCATCTCTCTTCATATCATATGGCTTATTTGTCTTCCCTCTGACTACAGCTCTGCCTTCTCTTCTATGGTAGATGAGCAAAGGAAGCCATAATATATTCTTAGGATATATTGAATATGTTTTGGTATTGCCTTTCTTTATTGTAGTTGTTATCATTCTTTTTTTCCTTTTCAAAACTAAAAGGTATTCATAATAAAACAAGCCAGCTCTTTCACATACCACATTTCTGGTTAGAATCTCTGTTTTTAATTTCTTTGCAAAGTAAATATCCAGCCTCCTATACCAAAACTAAATGCAGATTCCTCATTTAGAGAGCTCCTTTCCTGAAAATTCTTCAGAGTGCTCATTGTGTCTCTAGTCGATAGATGTGATAGGCTCCTAGTGGTATAGAAATTTCTTGATGATTTTGGATGGAGGGAAAGTTTGTGTTTTAAAGTGTTTGAAGGAAGTCCAACAGTAGCATTGTCAGAGTGTCAAAACACAGTAATAACATGTGTTGCAAGAACAATGGGATCACATTTTAAAGTAACAAAACCCCAGTGTTCCTTTGAGATCTTACTCTTGTAAGTTCAGGTTGGTTTTGTATTCTCTTCTGCACAGAGTTATTTCAAACCTCAAGGTTTTGGGAAACTAGAAAATCTTAATGAAGGATGAAACCAGGAAGATTTTAATAAATGGAAGATTGTACTGGTAGCTGAAATTGTCTCCCTTGTGCCAGCATTCCTGGTTAGAATACCTTGTGCCCTCTAAATATTTCCCCTCTTATGCTGGAGCCTTTAGAGCATTTCTTTGTCTTTTAGTTACCATGGCTATCCTAGTCATAGCAGGCTCATTGTGGAAATCAGTGCATTTCACACCTGTAAGTGTGTTTCTCTTTTCATAAATGCCTCCTATTTGCCAGTAATGCATTTAAACTTAGAAACTATCCTGTTCTGTCAGAACATGCAGGTAGAAATTATCACCTAAAAGCAATGATTGCTATTTATCTGCATTTGCAAACCAGAAGGCCTACTCATGTCTTAACTATGGCTTTGACCATGCACATTTGCTATAAGAATTTTGTCCTAGATTCTGAAGGAATCTATAGTATAATTATTTTTGTATGACTATTACTCTTTGATCACTGGGGCCCTGTAAAGGGTCTTGTGTCATTCTCTCTCTCCATTGACTGAAAGTGCTATTTTTCATCTTTCAGGATTTGTGCCATTCTCATTGTTCCGATGCCTTAGTCCAGAAAAAGATCACAGCTATTATCAACTGCTTTATTAATTCACCCATACCACCAGGTTTGCAGATTGACATCCCAGCTGAACAAGCAAAGAAGATTTTGGAGCACAGGAAAGAACTAGGACCTTATATTTTCAGAGAGGCACAGGTAAGAAGCTGGGTGAATCTCAGTAACAGGTCTGGCCAGAGTCTGTGTGCCTCATTTTAAGGACAGTTTTGTTGCTTATGTGACAAGTAGGACTCCTTACATAAGCCTAGGCTCAAAGAAGAACTCTATAGTCATATATTTCAATGGAGGCTGTTTGGTGGAGATGACAGAGAGGCTTCAGATATTTACTGCTAAATCTGACAGCCAACTGATCCTGGAAAGGTGTTACCTAGGTCTGTGTTAGGAATTCTGGCAGTAGAAACGAATTCTGTCCATGTTCTTAATTGCTTGTTTTTTACCACTTGGTTAATGTTTCTGAAAAATGCAGATGTGAGTAAAGCACAAAGACAGCTTAACTTGCTGAGTGTTTTTTCCTTCGTTATTATAGAAAGTGTATATTAAATGGCTGAGGATAATTTTCTCTCTGATCTTTGTACTATTCAGACTGAATAGCAATTTGTGAACCTTTACTACAGACTTACTATTTTCTTATCCCTTGATACTGCCTTCTCTGTCTTATCTTCTAAGCCCAAGAAAGCTAGTTGTTTTTCCTTTCCCATAAAATTGCCACCAACACCTTTAAACATCAGCTGTGAGTCCATAAAGTGTTTGGATGACAAAAGATGAATGATTTGTCAGAGAAAAGGGTTCATATAGGTCTTAAGAGAAACAGAAGTCTCATTTCAGCCTGTCTAAAACCCAGAGAGCTCCAGAAATGTGGCACAATACCAAAGGAAGAACTTGGCCGAAAAGCTGTGACTGGAACCTGACAGTGACTCACATGTCACTTTCAAGTCTGTTGAGCCAGAAGCAGTGAGATGCTGAGCACGCTCGGCAGCTTTGAAGCCAAGTTTCTCAATGAGAATTAAACATCTAAATAAATTGAAAAATGTGAGCCTTAGTACGTGCAGCAACAGAATTCACTGAGCCCCTCTGTTTGCTTTTCTAAAATTGTTTTTCTTATTCTAGTTCAAAAAAAGACCCTGTGAGAGATTATATCATTTAAAAATTATCCAAGATTTGCTCATAGATCTGTAATGTGGTTTAAGAGCCTTTCCAGAGGCAAAAGAAGTATTTCCTTTCTCTTAAGGAGGGAAAAAGCCATCTCCCTAATGAACTGAATATTTGAAATAGTTGAGCAGAACAGTGGTGCAAAAGCAATTCTACTGGTGTATATTTTATCAAGAATACTTGTAAAAAATGATGGATGTTTTCATTAATGCAAACAATTGTTTAGGGAAACATAAAAAAAGAAAGGGCCTTTTAACTGTGTTTTAGGAAGACTTCTCACCAGTAATAAACACACTGATGAAAAGCATGTGCTGAGCAAAGCTGGGCTGAAATGTCAGGACAGAGTATGTGGGAGGAACAAGGCTGTGTGTTCAAAAAAGAAACAGTTATTTCATTCTCATGGTAAATTACATTTTATTTTACAGTAAACTGTTTTCTTAATATGGTCAAAACTAACTTTCTTTTCTTCCTGCACAGACGAGTATTTTTGCTCTTCTGTTTAAATTTTGGCCAAAATTTTGTAAGTTTCGAAGCAATTTGGCCAGTGACAAAATTCAACTTGCCTTGGAGAGAAAAAAGATAGGAAAGATGCAAAAGAAGGAAGGGATAACAGCAGAGGTAAGACTCACAGTTTCAGGTGACAGCTGATAAACTGCATAAAAACCCCTTCATGAGCAAACATACATGAGTTGAAATATCCCTTTCTCAGCCTGATCGAAAGCTACCAAACCCTTGTTAGAATTCAAGCTTTACATGTGACCCGGTCCTAGGATGATTAGTTCCCAATCCTGCCGATGCATATACACGTGTTTAACTTGAAGCAGATGAGTCAATGAATACCCTTCTCATTAAGAAAAGAGGACAATGTATTTCAGTCATCTTTTGTGCTAACAGAAGAGCAAAACAGAGGGCTGAATTAAAAACCATAAATCTGTGTGCAGTGCATGTGTACAGTGGGTAACTGCAGACCTGTTTGCATATTCATTATGTATTGTCCTGTATTAGAATTTACAGTCCTGTGTCACTATTCAAACCAAACCAAACCAAAAACAGATTTCATATCTATTTTTCAGAAGGATCATTTGAAAAGTCTTCACATTATTTTAAAAAATATTTATGTGCTAATTGCTTTGCATAGCCTTTGCCTCTTCTTGAATATTTCTCAGCTTTGGCAGTGAAATTGTTAGACTGTTCACAATGAGTTTCCAGACAGTTTCAGGGCATTAACAGAACTGTGACCTCTACAGTGGAATGTTTGTTTGTAAAATTGTTTTTCTTGGATTTTTTTTTTATGAACATATAATTGATTTCTTTTTCTATTGATTGTAGGCTTTCAAAAAGTTTATTTTTAATGACATGCAATTGCTTGGCCAGATTTGAGGAGAAAACATTCTTTTAAGGGCAGAGAAATTACTGGACTTGCAAACTTATAAGTAGCATTAAAAGACCTTTACATATTTTAAATACCATGTACACATGTGTTGAGATGTTACTCGTGATGAGAACCACATGAGTACCTGGACAGATAAAGACATATATATGCCTGTAAGAACATGTACACATTGTTATCTTCTTTTAGACACATAAAAGCTGAGGACCAGTGAAGCATTACTCAAGGCCACACACCAGTGTCAAGAGAAGTTTAAAATCCAAGAACTCATGTTCCTTTCTCCAAAGCACATTGTCTCCATACAGATATGTCTGGCAAGGCCATTGGCAATACTTATAGAGCAAGAATGCAATATTTCAAAGTAATGCACTTTTGCGTTTCCACAGACTTATTTTTTCCATCTGTTTGTTGCCTGTCTATAAGATTTCTGATTAAGATCAAGGAAGTAAAGAGCAAATCTTGGCCAGGAGGGCAAAAGCCTAGCTTTTATGTAGAACAAATGGGAAAGGTGCATTACACTTCTATGGTGGGAAATCGAGTAAGAAATTTTAGAAAGCAGAAGGCAGAGAATGCCATTCAGTAGACAGCTTGAAGACTATTCTTCTCACAAAAAACCCCCAGTAAACCAGTGACCTTTTAAAATTTCTTGAAAGAATAGGTGGAATAGAAAAATGTTTGAAATGCTTTTGAAACCCTTTCTGTTATTGTTTAAAGAATTTGCCATTTCCCATTCCCTTGCTTGAGATTTCTGTCCTCTTGGTGACAACATAACTATTCAGATGATTCAGTGTCCTTGAGGGATACTGATAAGGTTCATGTAACACAAGCAAT